ACAGCGATCAAGCAAATGCAGTCAGTGTTGAGAATGGCCAAGAAAAAGTTTCCATACGCAAAGCTGTGGATTCCATTAATTAACTATTCACCATTTTTGCCTGAATCTGAAAGAAGCTGTCTACAAAAACTTAATGCACATATAGCCAAGAACATGCCGTGCCTTCCTCTCCTGTCACAAAACACATTCTCAACAGAGAGCGACTTAATACACTGGACTAGGGGGACAGCCACGGGCATGTTTCTACACTGGTGCAAATGTTTAAACTGGAAGTCCCCATAAGTTCACTAGTGGAAGGGGATAAGGACAAAAGGACAAAGTTTGTGACGTCACAAAATGTTGTGATTTTAAACAGTGAGTTTAAACCAACAGAAGCACAGATTAATTTGCTGAATCGTGGCTTAACATTTGTTCCTACCCTCAACACACATAAAAAAAAAAAAAAACACAATTAGAATTAGATTTACAGAAGTACCACAGGAAGCTAAAATTAAAAACTTTAAAAAAAACAAAAAAAAAAAAAAACGGGAGATTTCCAACATGATTTTAGATTATATAAAGACTCAAATTTATCACAGGAAGAGGTAAAATCACTAAGAGATCTGATACATTATAAGCAAATTGTGATGAGGCCAGCTGATAAAGGCAGTGCGGTTGTAATTCTAAGTAGAAAGCAATATATTTCAGAAGTTCACTGTCAGTTAAAGGATGAGACCTACTACCAAAAATTAAAGGAACACATTTACCCAGACTCAATTCCTGTGGTACACGAAATTTTGAATGCATTATATAAGAAAAAGTTTATAAACGCAAAACAAAAACATTATCTGAAAAGGAGAAGGACAGGTGAGAGAAAGGAGATTTTATATACTGCCAAAAATACACAAACCCCCAGAAAAGTGGAGTGTTCCGTTCCAAATGCCTCCAGGCAGACCAATAATTTCTGACTGCAGTAGCGAAACGTACGGCACAGCTGAATATATCACTTATTTTAACTCCTCTGTCTACGAAACATCCGGCGTACGTCAAAGACACATATCATTTTATTGAGATAATTAAAGGATTGACAGTTCCTCCAAACTCTATACTGTTCACAATGGACGTGGACAGTCTATATACAAATATTGATATCCCAGCCGGCCTACAGGCAGTACGTAAGGCCTTCATTGAATACCTGGATGTTTCGAGACCAGATAGTTAGTTACTACAACTGTTGGAAATTAATCTAACCAAAAATGACTGAGTTTCATGGTGAATATTTCCTACAAGTGAAAGGTACAGCTATGGGGAAAAGATCTGCTCCAGCTTATGTGAATATTTTCATGGCGAACTGGGAGAAGAAAGTATTAGCAAGTGTAGCATTAAACCGTTTCATTACATGAGGTACTTGGACGACATTTTCGGAATTTGGATTGACTCAATTTGAGAATTTGAGAAGTTTGTGAACACATTAAATACACATGATCATTCCATTAAAATCAAGCACATTTATGACACAAGACAGACTATAGACTTTATAGACACCACAATTCACATAGGACCATCATATCAACTAGACCAGAGACTGGACATTAAAGTCTACTTCAAAAGCACAGACACACATGCTTTATTATTTAAAAATAGTTTTCATCCCAAGCATACGTTTAGAGGACTGGTTAAGTCACAGCTCCTGAGGTTTCACAGGATTTGCACACAGGAAAAGGATTTCTCTTTAAAGCCCTTTGAAACAGGGGATATTCAAGATCTTTTCTGAGACACTGCTATCACTCCTTCAAACTCCAAAAACCAAGAAATTCAAAGGACATGACTCCACTCATAACCTACTTCTCTACCATTAGCAAAAAGCTACACCAAAAGTTCAAATACAATTATAAAATCTTCATGGAAGACACGGGAATACTACGAAATCATCAAATTATATCTGCATACCGGAGGAATAAGAGTCTTGGGGATCTATTAGTGAATGCTAAGTTGAAACCAATAAGACAGACAAGTGTCACGACTGAACTATGGAC